ATGTCGTCCAAAATCATGAAAAAAAAGTCATAGTATAGCATGTCGTCCAAATCATGAAAAAAAGTCATAGTATAGTATGTCGACCAAAATCAGGAAAAAAAAGTCATAGTATTGCATGTCATCCAAAATCATGAAAAAAAGTCATAGTATAGTATGTCGTCCCAAATCATGAAAAAAAGTCATAGTATAGTATGTCGTCCAAAATCATGAAAAAATGTCATAGTATATAGTGTGTCGTTAAAAATGATAAAAAAAATGTCATAGTATAGTATGTCGTCCAAAATCATGAAAAAATGTCATAGTATATAGTGTGTCGTTAAAAATGATAAAAAAAAATGTCATAGTATAGTATGTCGTCCCAAATCATAGTTTAGTATGCCATGAAATACTGTAGGCCATAACTAGTGTCTATAACAGTGTAGTATAGTATGCCATCATAAATGTCTTCGTATAGTATGTCATGATGTTACGACGTGCCTGTTAGGCTGCAACAAAGATGGGAGACGAGACAAGTTTCTAAAGAGTTTAAAGCTTTTTTATTTCCAAATAATAACAAATAAACATGAAAGTCAGTAATCAGTCATGTCTGCATGTATGAGTATGTGGAAATGTCTGTATACAAAGCAAAAGAACAGCAGCTGCTCTGTGAGGGAAGAAGTAGTCTTCTCGAAGGTGGGGAGATTTTATATCACAGGTTCATCCCAATATCTGCTCTTGCACCTCTCCATCACTGGCATCTCTTCCCCTCACTTAGCTCTGCCCTTGTAAGACAAGGAGTAGAGATCAGAGGATGAGATGCTAGGAAAGAAGAATCAAGGAAATATGTCTTAAGAGAAATAAGACGTCTTTTCCTCTCAAGTGTCACATGAAGCAACATCTGTTTGTGATGACAGCAGCAGCTGATAACAGCTGCATCAGTTGTCAAGAGGCTTTATTAACAGCTATAGAAACTTTTAATGGAATTTGTGTCTGCACATACACAGTTACATATACATATATAATGATAAAGATACAGATACAGTTATCACATAATGATATATATACACATATATTGATAAAGATACAGATACAGTTGTCACATAATGTTATATATACAGATATATTGATAAAGATACACATACAGTTATCCCCCCTGAAAGCCTCCTCTCTTTGACTCCTCCGAGCGCATTAAACAAATTGAGAAGTCCTACAAGATGACGAGTTTCAGTTCATTCAAGGTCAAGTGATCAAGGATAGAGAAGTTGAGGAGGGATATTGAATTGAACCCAATGAAACACACTGGCCCAAGTGTGGCACATGATGTCAACGACCACCCACTGCCTTCACCAGCATCCTGTAACAAAATAGAACAGCCAAGAAAACAGGCACACCTAGTGGAGAGGAGGAGTCATCACAATAGAAAATGCATAAAAAGGTGTCATAGTTTAGTAAGCCGTCAAAAATGCCATCAAAAATATTGCAGTATAATATGCAATAAAAATGGCATCAAAAAGTCATACTATATAATATGTCATTAAAAATCATGAAAAAAACATCATGGTAGAGCATGTCATCCAAAATCACGAAAAAACATCACAGTATAGCATGACTTCCAAAATCATGAAAAAATGTCATAGTATAGCATGTTGTCCAAAATCATGAAAAAAAAGTCATAGTATAGCATGTCGTCCAAAATCATGAAAAAAAAGTCATAGTATGTCATCCAAAATCATGAAAAATTGTCATAGTATAGTATGTCGTCCAAATTCATGGAAAAACGTCATAGTATAGCATGTCGTCCAAAATCATGGGGAAAAAAAGTCATAGTATAGCATGTCGTCCAAAATCATGAAAAAAAAGTCATAGTATAGTATGTCGTCCAAAATCATGGAAAAACGTCATAGTATAGTATGTCGTCCAAAATCATGGGAAAAAAAAGTCATAGTATAGTATGTCGTCCAAAATCATGGAAAAACGTCATAGTATAGTATGTCCAAAATCAAGAAAAAAAAGTCATAGTATAGCATGACGCCCAAAATCAAGAAAAAACGTCATAGTATAGTATTTAATCAATAATGCCATCAAAGTATCAGTATAGTTGTGACCAAGAGTAGGACAGTAGTTTTTGGGTTATTAGTTCACTGAGGAGGCATGTGGAAAACACAAATGTAAATGGGGTGGGTGATCGATTTGCAGATGGTCACTGGGGGAATGCCTTGTTCCTTTAAAGAAAACCTTGACCCCATTACTCTGTGCTTGCTGGCAGATGACGTTGATTTTGTCTTTACAGGTACATTATTCGGTCCGACCCGCTGGCACACATGCCAGAGGACTCACAGGTGGGGCAGGCCCGCAGCACCAGGAACCAGCAGGACTTTGGCACAGAGACAAGAGACGAGACTCACCTCTGAAACCCCCTCAGTCCTCGTCACCCTGACACCTTAACCTCCGAGCCCCGCCCGGGCCGACAGAGCATGTTTGTCTCACACAGATGATGGCTTGTCTCAGGCCAAGAACAGCAGTCCATAGTGAATGTGCATTATGTGTCTCTCAGCCTCGGATCAGAAATAACCAACACTTTAAAAGATGGCCCTGAGAGACCTACTGTTTCCCACAGAGCTGCTACAGGAGGATGCATGAAGAGTGCCTCGTCATCGACCCCGATTCCCCTCACACACCTCCTGTACTAACACACGTCACCCTCGCAAAACAATCTCAACCTGAGAACCAGGCACAGGAAACGGCTCCCTCCTTCCAACCAAAGGATTGAGAGATTTGACAGATGTCGTGAGAGGTCACAGGAGGTTTTTTTGTGCACACACTGTACAGGATATGAAATCATTTCACTCAGGGGTGAAGTTGCCCTCGTACCACGACTTGGGCCGACTTCCTCTACGCCTGTTCCTGCCTAAACTCACAAAGAACCGAATCTCGGGGCAACTACACCCTCTGCCACATCTTAACCATCATGTTTTCTACAAGTAAATGCTCTGAATTTCTGAAAAATTCAAGCATTTATCATGAAATTACACAACATGTGTGTGCACTTTTCTTAATTTATTACAAATGTCAGTTTGGTTTTTGTCTGTTTCTAATCAGACGGGAGTTTCATTTTCTTTATGAGCACAAACTTTTTTACGACCAACTGTCATCTGTGAATATACACATTGTAGTGGCACTTTTATCAGCCATACTAGAAACGTCAGCATTCCTCTCTGTTGTTTTCGACACTGATTTTTGTTGTTATCGTAAGGAGTGAATATCGTTAATTTATTTCACTATTTAAGTGTTTAAAATCATGTGTACGTGCCATTCTTTTGTTTACTCTATTGCTTTGTAATAACTTTGAATAATTTGTGCGTTATGTGCCATTGTGCTATATCAGTGTTAGTTTTTCATTTTTTAATTTCTTATTATTGAGCCTGACTGATTTTATTTTATCAGATACAGCCAATACGTAACATTTCTGTTCAATAATACTAAAGGAGTATCACTACATGACGGCTAATTTAATCTAAAAGCTGATGGTGGCTATTTCATCTTAAAAAAATAATTTAATGTGCGTACTTCAAGTTTACAGATAACACACACTACTTCATTATAATTATAATAACTTCTATTATAATTGAGTTAATTGTAGTTAAAAAAAAATTCAAGCCTCATTTTTATATTTTATTTTATTTATATTAGTTTTAGTGTGATGTTTTTGAAAAAAATTGTAACATGTCTTAGCACATATCTTGGTCATCACATTTTAATAACCAGATTTAAAGGAGTAGTTGGGAATTTTAGGGAATATTATTATTTATTATTTGCTATTTATTTTATTTGCAGAGAGTTAAATGAGATGCTTGACACCACTCTTTCATCTGTGTTATAAATATGAAGCTAGAGCCAGAAGGCAGTTAGCTTAGCTTAGCATAAAGCCTGAGCTAATAGAAGCAGGAGGGGAACAGCTAGCAGTAAAGCTGGGTCGTGTCCAGTCACGTCGCTAAATCAAGCTGATAACATGAAAAACATATTATGTTTATTTATAAACGTGTGTAATTTACTGCCGAACCAAGAACTGGCAACCTGAGGGAGATCAAATTCCGGTCAAGGTCGGGGGGATGAAGTTGTTTACCAAAAAAGTTTGAGTTTTTTTGGTGTGATCAGATAAGCGGCCTCTTTCAAGCCCCTATTAGACAGCTTGTTGCGGCATTATTCCACTCGCCGTTTTGTATAAAATGTATGAACACAAAATTGGGGGAGGGATTGTTGTTCCACCGTTAAGCCAGCAGTGGAGATAGTAACGGGGCCAAGTCTATTATGGACCACTCTCGAGCACCTTCATCCAGTGAAAGTAGCAAAGCACTAGCTTCAAAAGTGGCCAGATGATGTCATGCACTTGTTTGCATGTTTGTGACATCATTGTACATTCATTTTGGATAAAAGGAGCGTCATACAACTTTGTCGAATTCGATTCAATAGAAAAATTCTCAACAAAACATTTGAGTGCAACGAGAGCTTTGTGACATTACCAATCCAGAGAGCGAGAGTGTCAATGTAACCATAGAAAGTTACAACAAATTAACTTTGAGTGGCGTTTCCTCTCCTCCTACCTACCCCACGCCTACTGACTAACTGTGCAGGAGAAAGGAGGAGAGACTCTGCACTGTCAGCAGAGGAGTTGTGGACTGTGATTACTCTGGGCAGCGAGCACGAGAATCAACAGTATGATATATTTGAATGTATTTTTTGCTTTACTCCTGTGGGTCCGAACATGCAGCTAAATTTGTCATTAGATGCTCTTTAGAAATATCGTCACTAAGGGGGTCTGAAAAGCCACAGTGGCCAAGTTGGCAACACTGGGACTGGCTGCTGAGTCAAGTGCGACATCTAGTGGTAAAATTTGGTATAACGGTCTGGAGTGAGGCTTAATTTTAAATAGGTTTAAACATTTTTACAGCGGACCAACCCTCACTAGCAGCGCCCCTAAAGCTTACCAGTTCAGTTATGTTATATCTTGTTTGTTTAATGTGTACAAAATCATGTACATATTTTTTTTTTTTACAATTTTTACACCTGCAGTTCTGTACAGGTTAAACAAGCTATGAAGTATATTTTTAAGTGAGCGTAAAAGGTGCTGTTAGGCGGACTTTGGGGAAAGCCAGGCTAGCTGTTTCCCTTTGCTTCCAGTGTTTATGCAAAGCTAAGCTAACAGTCTTCTGGCTGTGGCTTCGTAAGTGGTGGACTAATATGAGAGTGGTATCAATCTTTTCACCCAACTCTTAGCAAGAATTAATAGAATGAATATTCCAAATTATCAGACTGTTAATTAAGGGTATCCTTCTGAGAATTATTTGTTAAAAACGAGTATGAGACGATTTATCATTTTCACATTTTAAGTCATACATCAATATCAGTATTGGCCTTATAAATCTACATCTGTCAGGCTCTACTGTTTTTATTTATTTACTCTTAACTTTAAATCCTTTGAGGTTGATGGTAAATATTCATTTCTTGTGATCTCCAGTTTCATAACTCTTTACTGAGGTACAGTTCAACTGGTAGCAGAATCGTTTTGCACAGACAGCGACAGACACAGTCGATCTGTTTCTGAATCTATTTGGAACGTACTTGAGCTGAAAACAAAGTGCTCTCCTCTCCCAGATTGTACAGGCCACACCTTGTGTATAAGGCAGTGTCAGTGTGCAGTATTTAATCTTGATTTATGTTCATTTTTGTTCACTGTAAATACTAACTTTATATATTCATCGTTTGCAGTTTTGTTTTCGGTCTCTTGTGTGTGATAAAAAGTGAAAGAGGACTTGAACTATTTTTGCACTAAGCTCTGCGGGGATGTGTAGAGCATTACGGCATGACCCTTTAATCTGAAGCTGTACAAGCCGGTGGACAGTATTCAAGCATTCCTGTGAAGCAAAGACGAGTCAGACGTGAAGTAACATGTCATGCTTTGTTGTGTTGTTTTGATTTACCTTGCAGATGTTTGAGAAGTATATTTTGGTGAGTGCCATTCTTATTTATGTGTCAGACAGAAATGATGAAGTATCTCAGATGGATTTCTCTTTGAAATTTGCCAATGTATTTTGTTTCTTTGAATCAGCATAAGCTTTTTTTATGTTTAACAGTATGTATTTTGCAAAAAGGCCCGTCAGACATGTCACAGACAGACAGTTTACAGGACAGGAGAGCTGAGGAGTGAGAGCGACCGCAGTGGAAGATAAAGATTGTTGTGCTGATCCATCCATTTAACGTCTTCCTCGGTCCTCACTCCTGACAAATCTTAACACTCCACGAAGAGTTCACTACTGTCCATACTTACAAATACCACAACGGGGCATGTAAACACTAAACAGCATGTTTTGATATACAAGCTTGCCAAGAACGATACATTTTGTACATTTAGTGGGACACTCGGTGGGACGTCCCGTGGCTAGAGAAAACCCATAATCAAGTCAACTGCTTGCAAGTTGGAGCCATTATTTGATACTGTGTATTTATATGAATGGAACATGCATGTTGTGTCCAGGTGTTATCAGAAGCCTATGTATTATGTTTACCTCCACTTTATGTTTTTAAGTCATTGTCAAAAAGGGGTTGATCCATTTTGTACTATTTCTTATGAGGAGCGAGTTTCCTTCTCCACATATAAAATATGAACAAATAAATGCTGCATGCAGCCAGAGATACAAATGACAAGACCTTTTTATTTCATCTCACATCGTCACATGACAGCTACATGAATATAAGGGACAATCACATGGAGATAAAGGTGTGATTTCATTTGATTAGAGTGCCGTTATTTAAGTAGTATGATGCCACATTTCCACTGCATGAAAGCATGGTGATCTGATGCACCTGATGGTTTGTTACACAGAACAAATGGTTTAAAAAAGCAGGCACTTTAAAAACATACTTTGCATTTTATTTGATGAACCACCTGTCCATCATCACATATCACAGGCCAGTCAGGAGAAGATCAAAACATCACTGAGAAAAGCCTTCAGTGTCATGCTTTGCTCTTCATTCAATAATGTAAAACTCTCCAGCATAACTGATGGTGCTGCAGTATTTACACTAACCTCTTTAGGAGCCGCCGTTGTCGCCTCTATGTGTCGTAACAAACACCTAAACCACGCACATGGCTGCCATTGGCAAGTGGATTTTCGTGTGACCTTGTGATCTTGCATGATTTCACACAAGAACCCAGCTGCCATGCAAGTAAACTCAACTTGCCGTTTTGCTTTTGTTTTTTGTTGAGAAAAGTTGTGGACAGTACCTGGTATATTTTTGATATCACTTAATTTGTCTTCTTCCATAAACCTGCCATTTTTAAAGAGCTGAACTACCATCAAAAAGACAGCAATTTTTCAATCACTCAACTCAAATTTATATAAAAAAAGGAACTCCACAAAACAAAAATGTGGCACTGTACGATTGACAAAGTGTGAACATCGTTGCAGATGAAAGGATCCCGCATGTGTCACATTGAAGCAGCTCTGTCTCCTAGAAATTACTTTTATATGGAATTAATTTGAAACTGCTAATATGTTTTGAGGGAAACACAATCATGACCAAATTCCTCTATTAACATAATGAGGACATTTTACACATTAATGTACGTGGGAACATTTCATATTTTAAAAATAAGCAGTGGGCTTGTTTTGACTACAGCATTATTTTTTATAAGCGCAGCTCTTTTTTAAATCAACATTTACCCAAAATCAGGATTCACCTGAAAGGTTTAGGAGTCTGGGAGTGAATGTGGGATTCTGGTGCCACAGTCTTGCACACTGTATGTCCACAGTCCACCCCGACCACCTCTCTGTGCGGTTCATACATGTAGTGTTTCAATAACCTGTTGAATCATCTCTATAATCCAGGCAGTGATGACGTTCTCACCACAAGGTGATTATGAATTCAATTTAGTAATATATGAATGGAATTTTTAGGAGAAATTCCATTCCACGGTTGAAGATGATATAACAGCGGTTTCATGCGGCATTGCGGGGACTATCTGCAGTGGAAAACAAAACAGAAAAAAGTACCTGGTACCAAAAGTGAGTCGAATCAAGCCGAACCGTGCAGTGGAAATGAGGCGCAAGTATTGACTCACAATTACAGTGTCACAAAGGTTCAATTTAAACTGCAGCAGCAGGTGAAATAAATGACTTTCTTAAGGAAACAGTTTCACATTTATTCACATATTTGCTTCCATGCTGTGAGTTAGAGGAGAAGATTAATACCACTCTCATGTCTTTATGGTAAATATAATGAGACACATAGCTCAGCTAGAATCAAGACCAGCCTGGCTTTGTCCAAAGGTAACAAAATCCACAGGCCAGCACCTCAAAAGTTTTTCAGTAATTAGTTGTATCACTAGTTGACTCTCTGTGGTTTTAAGTTGCATCTTTACAATAACACAAAATATGTTTTTACAGTGTAAAATGTGGATCATACAATGGCTTCAAATCCTACAGATTCTACAGTACCTTTTAATTAAAAAAAATATTGAAACATGTTACAATTTAACAATGAAATTAAATAATATAAAAACACGTGAAATTCTGATTTAAGTATATTACCAAAGGATTAACCTAACTGCAGCAGCAACATTTGAAACACAGATTAAAAGACTTCCAACTACACAAACAACTGTGTTAACTAACATTACTAGCAACACCTAATTTTCAATACATGTAGATGTCCAGACACAGATGTACCAAGGTAACATAACACTCACACTTCTGGGCACTAGCATCAATGCAGCATTGGAAGGGAGGGGGACGTCTAATGCAAGATGCTATTATATGTTGCATTATGGGAAATGTAGTGAAATGTGGGAATGTTCCAAGCTTGACCTGAACTAGAGACTAAAAGTCAGGATATCTGGGCCCCTGCTGTGCATTAAAATCTGCCTCCTCTGAGTTCCCAAACTTTATGGAAGTGTCATAAAAAAAAAATCACTGGAGCGTCTCTTTATTGGACAGACAGAAGAGTGGTGTCCATCTCCTCATCTAACTCTCACCATGAAAGCAAATAAGAGCATTTCCAAAATACAGAACAATTAACTAAGGTGTTGACAGATAGTTTTTAAAATAAAATCAATATTCTTTTATTAAACATAAAGAGAACAGAACAATATTGTCATGTTATGTGAACATAATATTAAACTTAAAGTGAATCCCTCTCTAAACTCCTTCTGTACCTCTGTCCTGACGCCGCTGCTTGCTGGCATGCACCTGCTTCCACCTGTCTCTGGTCCAGCGCCCGTTGTTCTGCACGACTTCATGCAGCAGGTCCAAAGCGTACTCGTTGCCAGACAGCAGCGTCTCATCATCTGGCGAGGCGCCACCAGAGGGAGCCTTCGGACCAGTGTTTTCTGCCCTCTGCCTGCTCGTCACAACTCGCTTGGGTTCACTTCTCTGTTCGGCCTTGCTGCTGCTCTTCTTTGTGTTCCTGGGTGCAGAACTTTCTGCAGGTTTCAGGTCTTGATTTGGATCAAGCTTTTCTTGAGTCAGGGTTTGGGCATGTCTCACAGTCGCGGGGTTCTGGAGCATCTCCTCCTTCTTTAGCTGCTCCTCTGGGCTTGTTACAGTGGTCTCCTCGTTTGGTTTTGAGGAGTGTCCCCGTTTCATGTCAGCTACAGTCATTTCAGAAGGATCTTGGTATGGAGGAGTTTGATTTTTCTCAGTTTCATCTTCCTGTTTGTCAGAAGCAGAGGGATGCTCCTCTTTGTTTAATGCTTTCTTCACCTCACCTGGAGACTTTGGTGTCCACACAGTGAGGATGTCAGATCCCTCCTCCTCCTCCTCCTCCTCCTTCATTTTACATCTTGCCTGCCACTGAACTGCAGTTGGAGGCCAGGTGGAGATCCTCCCCATACCTTTCCTCGTCTGTGATCTTTGACCTTTAGTGGACTGTTGGCTGAAATCATCAGGACTGGGTTTATTCTGGTTTGTACCAATGCTCAGATAAGGCACAGCATCTGAATTAACAGAAACACGGTGGGGGTTTTCATCTAGGTTTCTACTGGTGTCAACTTTTTCAGCATTTTTTGCCATTGTATCTGTGGTGTTTGTTAAATTATCTGTCCCAGTTACTCCGCCTACTTCAGTTTCATCTCCCAGTTTCTGTCTTCCTGTGTCTTTTGACTGAGCCTCTGTCTCAGTTTGCAAAGCAACTTGATCTTTCGCAGGCGCACAAAAAGGAGACGTAAAGAGAATAGCATTAGCTGACTTAGCTCTGACTCCAGAGAAGGATCTCCTACATCCCGTCTCTGAGTCCCAGTGATTGTTTTCTCTTTTCTCAGAGTGTCCTGCAGACGGAGCACGACTCGATCTGCTGTCTTCTTTTGATCTGTGTCTGTTTTCTTCTGGACGTCCAGGCATCACCGTTTTGTTACTGCGTGTCCTGCGATGAAGCACCACCAGGAAGCACACCACAAACAGGAGCAAAGACAGGACCACTGCAGGGGAGGGGAGCACATTATCAGGAGGAAAATAAGTCTGTAAAAATCTGATAATATTGTTTTTCGTACAGTCAAACCAAAGCCTTCAAAAGAAAGGAAAACATACCTATCACGACAACAAGGGGGCAGACAATATTTGTATCTGACGGTGGTCTGATGATGGATGTTTCTGGAAGGAACAACAGACACATGAAGCACAAATTATACAGAGGTTCAAACATCAAAAGACAAGAAGAACCAGGCCTACCAGCGGGTGTAGGTGTACTTATGGGTAGGTCAGAGGGTTTAGGATGGACGGAGATCTCTGCCATTGATGGAGGTGACGTTGGATAAGTTTCTAGAAGGAACAACAAACATATGAGGCACAAATTGTCTAAACAACAGCTGGGAAATTTGGTGACTCTTTTTCTGAGAGATTCAAATATCACAAGGAGAGAACCAGTTATTCCAGTGGGTGTAGATGTGGTTCTGGGCAGGTCAGATGGTTTAGGCTGGACAGAGATCTCCGTCACTGATGGAGGTGATGTCATATAAGTTGCTGGAGGAAACGGCACAATAACAAAAGAGACAGAACGGTCACGATCATAAACTGACCTCTGGTAAAATTTAATGAGTGAAATCAGTTGCTTGTCATTAAGTGTGCCCATCAGGTTCTCCTGGTTGTGACACACTCTTCTTGGGATGCCCTCATTTCTCTCATTTATCTACATAAGCTCAGTTAAGACGAGTCAGAGGTACTTTATGGTTTTTTGTCCTTACTTTGGTCACCAATGTTCTTTGTGCAACAGTTTATCAAACTTAAGGCAATTCCTTAAGAGAACGAAGCCATAGTTTTAGGGAGAAAAGTAAAATCATTAAAAGAAAGCAAAATTAAAAGAAGAATGCAACAACAATCTATAAGCACAACCACTATCTGTGTCTGGATAATGAAAAATATTTTGTCAATCTGCCCCAAAACTTTTCCTTTGCCCTTGCAACATCCTTCCATCCAAGTTTCATGAAAAGTTTTTTGTAATGTTGCTGACAAACAAACAAACAAACCAAGTGGAAAACATAACCTCCTTTGCAGACAGAGAGGAAGAGGAAAACATTAAAACTTCATTTATTCAGTATCAAAATCTGAGTTTTTCCCCTCTAACAGTGTATCTGATAATACTATTTTATGTTTTGTGCCATGTCCAGTGAAATTTATGTGAGTTGTAATAACTAAAATGCAGTGGTGGACAGCAGTGGATAATGTGTTCAGGCAGAAAAGAGCAAGAGTGAGACCAACACGTTTGTTTTGAATGAAGGAATCCAAATTTAGCTCCCAAGCCAGCAGTTCAGATGTGATGTAGGAGGTTATGACATGTCCTATAAGTGACCACAAGGTGGTGCTATCAACAAAAAAACTATCCGTTTGTGTCTATGTTCATGGCCTCTCTTACTAACATCTAATTGAAATATGTTGGGTACTTTCTGAAATATCTTGTTAAGTAATAGACAATAAACTAAAAAATATTTAAGTACTGAGCTGCCAATGTTCTAGTTTTAATGTCCACTGGATTAACAAAAACAAACAGAAAAAAAGATATTATTATCATTATTAGAGGTTAAATGATATTAAAATGAAATTAATTATGATGTGTGAGCACCTTTCTTGAAATTACAAACTTCTTTTTTCCTCAATTTCTTTCACTGATAATCTCTTGTATTACTCTGATTCTATCTATCCATCCATTTTCATTCGCTTATCTGGGGCCGGGTCACAGGGGCAGCAGGCCAAGCAAAGCACCCCAGATGTCCCTCTCCCCAGCAACACTTTCCAGCTCTTCCTGGGGGAACTCAAGGCGTTCCCAGGCCAGAACTGCGTCTGCCCTGGGGCCTCCTACCAGTTTGACGTGCCTGAAACACCTCCAACGGGAGGCGCCCAGGAGGCATCCTGATCAGATGCCCGAACCACCTCAACTGACCCCTTTCGACACAAAGGAGCAGTGGCTCTACTCCGAGCTCCCTCCGGATGTCTGAGCTCCTTACCCTATCTCTAAGGCTGAGCCCAGACACCCCACAGAGGAAACTAATTTCTGCTTGTATCTGCTATCTCATTCTTTCGGTCACTATCCAGAGAGCCCATGACCATAGGTGAGGGTTGGGACGTAGATGGACCAGTAAATTGAAAGCGCCTTCCAACTCAGCTCCCTCTTCATCACTACGGTCTGGCACAACACCCGCATCAACCGCCGATCCATCTCACGCTCCATTCTACCCTCACTCTGATTCACTCTGATTCTGTTGGTAAAGAAATTTAAACATGAAGAAAACTAACCAAATGTACCGTTCTTTAAAGGAGGTGTAGTGACCGTTGTGAGGATATCTGTGGGTTTGGGTTGGACAGAAGTTTTTGTCTCCCATGTCGGTCGCCATGGAGCTGTTGCTAGAGGGAACAACAGAGATACAAAGCACAAATTTAATTAAACTTTAGTGATTAAGAATTTAAAAGCAGACACTAGGAAAGAAGAATCACATGTACCAGTGTGTGAGGACATTATAACAGGTGCATCAGAGGGTTTGGGTTGGACAGAGGTTTTTGTTTCTGATGTTGGCTGTGATGAAGGTGTTGTCACAACTTTTGCTGGAGGGGACAACAGAGATACTGAGCGCACACATCCTGATTGTGATGCTGAATTATTTCAAATATTAGAAACTGAGAAAAGAAGGACGCACCAGATGTGGGTGCAGGGACTGTCGTGAGGATAACAGTGGGTTTGGTGTGGGTCGTGTGCGTCACTGATGGTGGTCTTGGTGGAGGTGACGTCACACACACCGACACATTCCACACAGGCTGACCCCTCAGAGACAGAGGACTCTCACAGGTCACCTCCATCTGTCTGTCGAGCAGAGATCTGCTTTGGAGATCTGAGAAGAGACACGGCTTTACTTTCTGAAAAGCTCTTAAAACACACAACTTGTTACACGTCTCGTATTTCACGAACCTTTGACAAAGTAGACAAAGTCTTCAGCTCCACAGGAACAGTCCCAGGGGTTCCCATCTAGTCTGATCCTGGTGGACTGGAGAGACCTGAAGACCTGAGGTGAGACCCGAGTCATCCTGTTTTTAGACAAGTCCAACTCAGCCAAGTTGGTTTGGAAGCTAAAAGTATTTGGATGAATCGTCCTGATCCTGTTGTTGCTCAGATGTAGCCATCTGAGGTTAATGAGCCCGTTAAGACTGGACTCATTCAGAACTTCAATCTGGTTTCCTGAGAGGATGAACTCATTGAGGATATCAGGCCGACCAAACCAGTTTGGGTTGATCTCTGTCAGCAAGTTCTGGTCTAAAGTGAGATTTGTGAGGCTCTGGAAAGAACTGAAAGCCCCTGCAGCGATGCCTGTGACACCAGCCTTGTCAATCCTGAGCCTGGTTATTGAGGTGAGGCTGTCGCTGCGGAACACAGTGGAGTTTATCTCCCCGACATCCCTCAGGGCCATGACCAGAGATGAAAAACCAGGACTGAAAGCTAAGAGCACAGTATTATGATTACATTTAGGCACATAGAACTTAAAATTAAGAAGTCAAATGTGATACAAGAGCAGTTTTAAATGAAATCAGCTGATTCGCTGCGTGCTGTCTGACCATTTTTTAAAATACACTGCATTGGTTCTGTGCTGAATCCCTGCAGTAAAAATGCAGATAGTAGATGAGTGCATTAAAGGCTCACTCAATGTCTCACTAGTTTTCAAAGCTAGTACTTATGTACGTATGTTAAACCTGTAATTTGTGGCAATTCATTTATGTTTTTATGGAGCAGTTTCAAAGTCCTGCCTGTGCTGCCATCTATTGGTCATGTTCTGCAATGTAACATCACCAGGCTGGAGTTTTTCTGACCACATTCAATAGGTTAACTTCAGGATTTTTCAAACTGGACTCTGTTTTCCCTGCAGCAGCAAAACAGTCTGCAATGTAACCATTCAGGGCACCCGCTGTGAATTAACGTCCAATAAAAGTGTTTGTTTTTGCCGCTGACAAGCTCAGATTGCTATTGTCCCATGACATATTTGGTCTGATTTAATGGTGACACAAATACTGAGATTGGCACTGACGGTAATTTTAAAATGATGATTTTATACCTAATATTTATAATTATGATTTTTTTTGTCTAGTGATTTTTATTTATTCTTTCTTAACTTTCATTGTACATTACAGAATTGTTTGATTTTGCTGCTTGTTTTTTTTTTCTTTAACTGTGTCTTGTCAGGTGTCCTTGAGTGCTTTGAAAAGTGCCTATAAATACAATGCATTATTATTATTATTTATCATTATTACTAATTAATAATAACAACAATAATAATAATATACGTGTCTGACAACTTATGGAAAGGATCCTACGGAGAGCCTACAGCCCCAAAACGATATTTTGCTATTAGTAGTTTATCACTTGTTTTATTTTATGTACTGGTTTTATCTTCCTGAGTTTTTAATAACTTTGTGAACATTTTATTAGTTAGAGGCTTCAAATAAGCCCTCTGGGTTTTTACCTCTCCCTAAACTATATTTCATTATTCATTTTTCTTGCCTTTTTTGTGTTTCAATTGTGCAAAAAACAAACAAACTATAAACTATAAAGTGAAGGTGCACTTGTGCCCCTATCGGTTACATTACAGCCTGTTTCCTGGTTCACTCAGTACTGGACTAGTTTCACAAATTGTTGTGATGGGAAAATAGGGTCCAGGTTGAAAAATAAATGTTTCCTTTTAGGAGGGATAATTTGTTCAGAGTTTCACCAACTTTTGATTCATGGCAGTCAATCTGACGAAAGCTTTCCAGACATTTTTGACAAGGTTTTGATCATCAGCTGACACTAAAACTCAAATGTTTACCAAAAGGATGACAATTCTCTTTGGAAGATTAACGGCACTTTGAAGAGCAAATTTTTAACAACAGACATTCAAAACTGATGTGAGGAAAATGTAATCTGTTATACAGTTTTTATAAAAAGGTTGTGAGAAAGGAATCAACATCAGAAGACATTTAATTAAAGGATAATATCAGCTCAGTGAATCTGGCTTTTAACTTCAGTTCAGTAAAAATTGAAGTCCTCACCTGGTGGTATGTTGGAGCAGAATAAAATGTTTTCATCTCCGACACAAGAGCGGCTCAAACGCACATTTAACAGCAACAAAACAACAGCAGCAGCAACTGTGAAGACACAGAGGAATCAGATCAGCATTTCATCATTTCCTTCATAATGCTTGAACATGAAATACGTGCACTTACCCTTCATGGTGACTGATGTGATTGTCGCTGGCTGCAGCTCGGACTCTACCTGGACAGTTTACCAAGTTTGGAGGTCTTGTGATCACCTGAACCAGCAGGTGTGAAAAGAGAAACACAGTTGCCATGGCAGATGACAGTTTGCCATGGTTATGAGCGCTGGCGTTGAAGCTGCTGTTCCAGTTGGGTGGTAGTGTGAGGCGGTTAGCAGCAGGGGAGGCCTCAAGATGTTTTGACTACTTGGATGGTTTGAATTAGAAACCACAGTGTCATGTTGAATGATACAGCTTTGCCTCTTGGTGTTGAGAAGATTAATATGACTTTGTGACGTCAGTGTTAAATAGGAAATTGGAAATTAAAAATATGGAAATAGATTGATAATCCATGTGTTAATGTGTAGCCTGTAAATAAAAAAGACCTTCCACAAATACAAAAAAAAAAAAAATAAAATAAAAAAATGTAATTAGAAATGTAATTTTGTAATTATAAATTAATTTTCAAATACACAAA